TGGCTCAGAGGTAGAGCACTCGCCTAGCATGTGTGAGGCACTGGGTTTGATCCTCAGCACCACTTAAAAATAAAACAAAGATATTGTGTCCACCAAAAACTAAAAAATAAATAAATATTTTTTTAAAAAAATTCCAGGTCTAAGGACAAGGAAGAACAATGGAAAGATCCTATATATACAAATCTTCTTTTCCTTTGAAAAGTCCTGAGCAGGTAAGTAAACTAATAATGGTGGAAGTATATCTGCCCCCATGGAGGATGAATGGCCATCTGAACCTTTGATTTCAGCATCTGACATGGCTGGCAGACTCTATTCTTAATGGTCCCAAATGCAAAAACCCTTTTCATGTCTGAGTCATTCTGTAAAAATCTGTGACATGCTTTATTTTAACCTGTGTATTCTATGTCATGGGTTCTTGTGTCCATATCATGTATGCGTTATCAAAATTGGCTCTAACCCCTGAATGTCACCTAGGAGAAAAAAGATTAAGGCACAGATTTTGTATATCCCAGACTGTATGATCCCTCCCCTGGGATGAAATATACAAGTATTTTAAAATGTAAAGCTTAGGAATACATTACCAGGCTGTTATTTTCGAAACTAGAGTTGTCTATAGCAGTAGACTCTTTCAGACTTATATAGAAATAATAAATTTAGTTTGAGATTTATGTATGTTATTTAATATTTTATAATTGGATAAAAATAACTTTTCATCAATAAGTTATACATAAAACTTTGTGTTACTCTTTACACTGGGATGGAAATTTAAATGTATTTTTGAAAAGTAATGAGAGCCTGGTTTGTTTATGTTTGTTTATGTTCCACAATGTAGAACATAAAAACTTTTTGCCACAAAAAAGTTAAGAGCTCTCTTAGTTTCTGTTTGACTTATATTTCAGATGTAATGTTGTATTGTGTTGTCAACAGCCCTGCCTTACCTGAGGTAAGTCTCTGCCTCACACCCTACTCCATGTTACGATGGCTCCAAAGTAGGCTAGACTTAAGAGTACTTAAAGTTGTGTTCAAAAGATAGATTTTTGTTATAAAGAGTTCTGTGATCTCAAAATAACCAAGGGATATAATACAAAATTAAGTAAAGGTTTGGGTAAATTATTAAAGCTATGTAAAATTATAAAAGAGTTTTAAAAGAAAGTAAAATTTGTACAGGGCCTCATATGTAACTGACTTGATATATTTATGTGTCTTTGTGGAGGCAAAATAGATACCAAATATGTAGTATTATTATAGAAATTATGTTCAACACTATTAAACAAACTGAATATGTTTTTGGTCTTATAGATATATTTCATTTAGTATTTTCCTTATAGACCTTCATAACATTTGCCTGTTTATGTTTTGAAAAAGTACTCCTTCTAACAGAAGAATCTGAGTTAATTTGAGATAATAGGCCATCGCCTACAGGGCAGAATAGGATATAAGCTGACTTTGAGTGCTAATACTAACCCCAGTTAAATGGAAGGGATAACTATAAAATTATAGACATTAAAGTTACTGGTGAAACTCACCTGCTAGATGTTTAAAACCAAAACTTAGAAATCAAATAAAAGGAAGTAAAAGGTTCAAGGAAAAGGTATCCAGTATTTTGGCCCTTGCCCTCTAAAGTCAGTCAGGACCCAGGGAATCATGGGACCCCTTTAAGGGCTCTACAACTCTGGTGAGTCAACTGACCTCCTGATCAGGGGAACTGAGAGGACCCTAGAGGAAGACAACCAATGCACATTCTGCAACAAAAAGGGTAACAGGAGAAGGAAATGTCTCTGGTGCTTCTAAGGGAAACAGCATGCAGTCAGCAAGACTCTGAACCATCCTAGTAGATGGCACCACTGACAGAAGAGTCAAGAGGTTTCTCACACATTCTCAAGAGTGATCTCTGAGGAATCTCAGAATCTAGAGTTTACAATTCATCACTTCCAGCCTGGTGACTTGATTTTTAATGAAGGACACAAGCTTCAAGTGATCTGGAAAGGACCTTACCAAGTGCTCCTAATCACCAGGATGGGGATCTGAACTGCTAAAAAGCAGAGAATGCATTACCATGGGCAATTTCCACCTCAAAAAGTTAATATATCTAGAATGGAGAGCAATACCAAAGGTTACAATGAAAATAAAGCCGAAAGTTGTAAAATAGAAAAAGCAGAGATTTGTGAGAAATAGAAAGTCTGGTGGCCCATTTTCAGAATATAGCCTTAATTGGATACAATTATAGCCATTTTAATTATAGTCCTTCCTTTTGCCCACCCCAATTTTAAAATTAGCCAATTGCATAGATTATAACACTGAACTCCTCCAATCAGAGTAAAGGACAGAACTGCCATTAGGTGTTAGGAATATACGCAGGCAGACTGCCCACCCAGGTGCACTTGCCACCCAGATTCCAGTAGGAAACCCTTCTGGCAAGAGTAAAAGTTTGCTTTACTCACCCACTATCAAGCACATGTCTGATTTCTTGTGGCACCTTGGTATTTCTAACAGTAGCACAATGCTATACTGAAATAAGATAACAGAGCTATGCTTTCAAAAATCCAAGGGAAACTACATGAACATAAAATTTTGTATTCAGTTGAAGTATCAAGCAAACATAAAGGCAAAAGAACATTTTGAGACATATAAGAAGTCAGAAAATATACCACCAGCACATTCTTTTTGAGGAAACACTTGAAAAAATAATCCAACCTAAAGGAAAAGGAAGATATAAGACACTAGAAACTACAGAGTAAGTGCAGGTGTACAATAAAGAAAACCTAGGCTGACAGCTGAGAGTAGGTTTAGAAAGCAACTGGTCCAAATCCACACCTTAAGGCAAAAAACCCAAGGAAAAATATCTTTAGCCCATTAGGCAAATGTCTTACAAAGAATATTGGCAGTCTTTATAAAAGAAAGTACAAATAAGGTAAATTAGATATTGAAAAATATTGTCCAGGAAAACCAAGACTTTTGTTTGGGTAATTAATGGTAATTAATTATTTTGGGTCAGATAATAGGTTCTTTCCATAATCTTCTTGACTTTGATATTTAGAATATTTTTTTGAAAGATACAGATTGAGATCCATACAATTTTCATTTCTCAATGGATTCAAACATACTACACGGTTCTCTGAAAAATAAACATTTACACAGTCATAAAATTATAAATGCAACTATAGGTTTCCAATTTAAAAAATCAAGAGCCTGAAACATGCTAGGCAAGCACCCTACCACTGAGCTACATCCACCAATAGAGATTAAGTAGACTGAGAAAGCCTGACAAAGCTACATTTTGTTAAATTGTCCAAGTATATCTTGGGTATAATGAATTTTGAAAATGACAGCTATAAAACAGTAATCTCCAAAAATTTCAATACACATTATCCTGTTATACATGTATACACATGTGTAACATGTTATACATGTTATTTCAATATACATGAAAGGCTTCTAAGTACCTGCCTCTAATATGTGTATTTTTTTATAAAATACAAATTTTGTATATACACTCTTATAAAAACATACATTAAGTATATTATAAATATTAAAAGGAATTATAAAGGATGAGGAAAATGGCCTCATGATATTTTAATATTTGCTTCTCCTCAACCAAGTAGAAAGTACAAATTATGGACAGTTTTCAAAAAGTTGAAATAAACTCACAAATAAAAGGAGAGAAGGAAGAAGTATCACAGAAATGACAACTGAAGTCCCAAGACCTTCCCTAGAAAGCTTAGCCTGCTTCAAATTAAAAAATAAAGGGAGACAGATCACATATCATCCCAAGATGATTGAAGAAGTAACAACCAGTGTTTGAACAAAGGACTTATTTCTGATCATCAAAAGGTGAAACCTGGTTGATAAATTAGCATATCAGCAACATGAGGAGAAACTGATTACACGTTTTAAGAGTCTACAACAGTCAAGAATACTAAAATAGGACATAGTTAAGTATGCATCACAGATTTTAACAAGTCAAATTCCAGCCAGTAGGAATAATCCCAGTGCCAGAGACTCCAAAAGTAAATACAGTTCAAGTTATCAAAAATGATGTTCAGATTTTATGATCATGATTCCAATGAAGAAAAAAGGGAAAAGAAAAGAGAAAGGCATCCATATGTTTAGCTTCTCATTTAGGAAATATAATGAAATTCACTTAATAGGAAAGCAAGTGTTTTAAGTGCTGTTCTAAGCATCATGGGACTACTGTATACCAAATGTTTGGTAAGTATTATCCAGCAACACTAGACTATTTCTAATGACCAAAGAGAGGCCCAATAATCTATAGTTAAATGACTGGGCATCCCCTACAGAGTAATACAAGTAAAATCTCTCAACCTATTCTAGACTACTTACTCTACTCTGGCAAGGTCATCCCAGGCTTTCAAGTATATACTGCAGTTATCTTAGGGGAAAACTGAATAAGGTCTAGGAAGTCCGCAGGGACAGTCTATGGAGTAAGAAGTCAAATAGCAGGAACTTCTTCAATTTTTTCAATTGTGGTATAATAGCTCAATACAAATGCACACACACAAATACCCACACTCACATAGTATATAAGTAATAGTTTTCTCTTACCTGCAAATTCCCCAAATATGTCAGAATATAAACAGGAAATTAAGCCCTATCTGTACTTGGTGAATTGGCCCTTGTTGTAATAAATCCAATAATTATAATACTCTGTTCCACATTTGTTTGGAAATCAATAATCTCTTCAGGGCATTCATGACAAGTTTTAAGTTTAACACTGAAGAGAAATTGTTGTAGTTTGGATCTAGAATGTCCTCTAAAGGCTCATGTGTTGAAGGCTTAGTCTCCAGTGGAGAAATGTTCAGCAGTGGGGCTCTTGAGAAGTGGTTGGAACATGAGGGCATTGATTTCATCAGTGGATTAATCCACTGACAGCAAAATGGACTACTAGGAACATATTTGTCACAGCAACAAAAAGCTAGTATATTATAATGAAACAAATTCAACAATCCAAATACTCATGAAAAATTAATTTGGGAACTCACCTTTCCACAACTAAACTGACAGCCTGTGTGAGATCTGGATTTTTTTCCTGGAGGCGTTTCCACAATGACCATACAAATTCTTTATCAGCCTTAAAGGAAAAAAAAGAAAAGAAAAAGGTATTTTAAGTGCATTGCTTTATATAGTCATCAGATAAAACATTACATTAAATTTAAAAACAAAAAACATATTCCTTGATCCCTAGGTTCTATGTCAGTGAATTATTTGAAAGAATGGCAGGAAAGCTTTATTTTAATGTCTTATATTGGTAACCCATATTCACTTTTAATACTTCTATCACTTGCATTTTGGGATGCAAATACTGAAATACTAAATATCAAGGCAAATTTACTTTAAAATTGCCCTGCAACTATTACACCAGTTTTCAGCTCCCCTTTTCAGCAAGATAATTTAAGACCGCACCTCCTTTTCACTCTACAGTATCTTCCAAAAGAGTTCTCTCCCCATGTGATAAAATTCTTATTCAAGATACTATCAAATCAAATGGACAACTGAAAGTTTCAATCCTTATCACAAAAGTCAATTGTTATTAACTCTAGTAGACAGTTAGAAATCAATTTTGAGGACCTTTTAAAAAATAGTGACAATCTAGAAATTCTGATTAATTGGTCTCAAGTAAGATTCAAGCATCAATATTTTCTGAAAAATCCTCACATTAATATGTTCAAAGCTACTACCCATGTAGACCTCATGTCAGTCTCATGGTTTTACATACAAACTCTTCACTAAGACTTATCTTTCTAACTGTCCCCTGTACTCTTATGTCCACACTTATAGCTCCAACTGGCTACCTGATGATTCTCTTGAATGCCTAATAGGCATCTTAAATTTAATTTGTCCAAACAACATTCTTGATTTTTTACCATCTTACACATCTGCCCACTGCATCTCAGAAAATGGCATCATCATCATCTACTCATTAATTCAAAAACCTGAAATGCAGAAAGCAATCTTGATTGCTCTTTTATTCATACTTTATATCCAAACCATCAGTAAATGGCACTAAAAAATACATCCCAATTCCAATCACCTTCACCATTTCTACTACCATCTCCCTCATCGAAATCAACACCATTTCTTTCTTAGCTCTCTTCAATGGTTCCTAGCCTTACAATTCAAAACTCTCCAATTGGTTCCCATTAGATTAGGAAGATAATCCAAACTCTTTACCAAACCTAAAAACCCCACATCATCCTTACACGTAGCTCTAGCCTCATCTATCACTCTGCCCTTTGTTCACAATGACTTTGTTACTCTACTTGCAGTAGGGTCTTTGCACATAATGTACTACTTACCAGATTTTTATATAGATTACTCCTTCACTTCATTCAAGTCTTTGCTTAAATATCACTGCCTTAAGGGAAGTCTTCCTTGACTACCATATTTATAAAAGCTATCAAGACTCACAAGTCTCTGCAACCCCTTACCCTTTGTCCTTCTTTTTTCATGGCATATTTCATTTAATAATCCTGTATTTGTTTGATTATGTGGCAGATACCTGAATTAATATCTTTCTCCATTATCCATTCTCTTCTTTTAGTTACAGAAACTATTTTGGTACTTTGCTGGCCAACTATCACACTGGCCTTTCTTGTCTTATGGCTATGTGCCCAAGTTCTGCCAATGAAATATAAGAGGTGCTATTGAAACTTAGAGGACATTATAAAATTAGGTTTATGCCTGCCAAGTGGGTTAGAAATACTTTTTTCCAGACTGCTCTTGCTTATTTAACTTACTTACAATGGGAATTTTCTTGAAAAACAGTAGTTATTAATGTCATATATTCAAATTTATACATCTTTCCCCTGGTGGCTTGTGGATTTTAGGTACTAGTTAGAAATGTCTTGTCTTCTCCTAGATTATAAATATATTTACTCAGCCTTCTAGAATTTGTGGGGGGAGGGGGTTGGTAAATTTATTTTCTTAATTGACAAAATGGCTTATATTTATAGTTATATGAAATTTTCATATATGTTGTGAAATGGCTAAATCAAAATAATTAACATATCCATTATTTCATGTAAGCTTTTTTGGTGGTAAGAAAGATTAAAATCTATTCTCTTAACCAATTTTCAAGCATGTAATACATTATTATTAAGTACAGCCATCATGTCTACTAATTTGAAAACCAAAGTAAGACTTCTGACGAATAATAAAATGCTACAAATGAAGGGCCAGAGGTATAGCTCAACAGAGTGCTTGCCTAGCATGGACAAGTCCCTAAATTCAATTCCCAGCAGCACTGAAATTTAAAAATTTTTAAAATGGATTGCAAGACTATTAAGAATTTTGTGCGGGTTTTTTATATTTATTTTTTAGTTGTAGTTGGACTCAATACCTTTATTTTATTTATTTATTTTTATGTGGGCTGAGGATCGAACCCAGGGTCTTACATGTGCGAGCCAAGTGCTCTGCCACTGAGCCACAACCCCAGCCCAAGAATTTTGTTTTAATTATTTGAATGTCATATTAAATTTAATGTGGATTATCCCTCTAATTATTAACAAGATCCTTCTCATATAGAAAAAGTTAACCACTCCAAAAAAAAAAAACCACAGAACTAATTTCCAAACTGTTCCAAACAATATATAAACAAGGAAACTATTGCCAATCACATTCTTTGTATTTTCCCTATTTCAGACACTTAAAGATATTTTTTAAATTTTTTTAAATTAAAAGCCTTTAAAATCACTCATAATAAAATTATTTGTTTTCTGTACAGAACTTTCAAACACAATCAAATACTTAAAAATTCCTAATCCTTCTCATAAAGTTTATTAAACAGCCCCTAGCTTATGAAACAGCTGACTAAATGATAGATGACTTGATTCAAAATTTCCTTAGAGGTAGATTGGTTTTTGTCTTTTACTTATCAGCTTCTATGGAAATAGACACGGTCAATATAAACACAAACACCCAAAACTGCCCCTTTTGAAGTGGGTACCTACTCTCCCAACACATGGATTCATTTTGGAAACATATTAGGCCTTCAATTTGCCTCTAATGGAGGAATGAATTCACCAAACCTTCAAAAACTATTTCCTACATTTAAACAAATAATTTGCCCATCAGAACTCAAGGAAACCATGGAAGGAATTTGTTTGCAAATATGACATAAAGTAGCCACTCAGCAAATTATCATTATGAAAAATAACTTCACAAAAAGTTCACCTATTAGAATATAGCCACTAACAATGAGGAGGAATCTAATTCCACAATACATACTCAAATTTATTTTTTTTCTTTTTGAATGACTTGACAAGGTTTCCAACATAAAATATAAGGGAACTAGTTCTCTGATCATACACTCTTACTTCCAATATCATGTGCTTCCAAAGTTATTTTCATCATTAAATTTGGTAATTTAAATGTCCTAAATAATGTTTTATCTGAAATTGCTCTGTAGGTTTAGTAAATATTTTGGTTGCTACTAAAACAGAAAATAAGCTTTATGAACACTATATAACATTACTTTTCCTCACCTGGTATTCTATAAATTGTGATAAACATGCATATATTCATATCTCCAGCTTCTTTTGTCACAAACAATACATTCTTGAAAGATATAATCAAAATTAAGAATATAATAGAATTAGGCTTTAAATCCACAAAAAAGGGGGGGGGCATAAATTTCATGGACTCAGAATCACCTTTTGGAACACCCTTGAAAAATTCCTTGGACAAAAGCTATATTTGGAAGCTAAACTACAATCCTCAGTAAGCACAATACAGACAGCTTTTCACATTGAAATCAACCACCTTTTCTTCAGCTAAACATTATATGTAGTTTGCTTGCTAATGTGGCAGTCATAGGAAAAAATGTTTAAATAATAAAATTACCTATAGTGAGATAAGATGCTCACATTAAGAGAAGTGCTTATTTTCTACTCTGAGGCATTCCAATGGAGTGAAATGGTACCTGGAATCAAACTTTTCCCACCAATCACACATAACTGATTCCCATAAATTAAATGAGTATGGGAAAGGAACTAACCTAACAGAAGCTACTATGTATGATCATTTATTGATCAAACAGGGTTCTTTTCCCCAAACAGGATGTTTGACCCATTATAAGGACGTGGAATTAATTTAGATCTGAACACTATCTTTTAAAATAGAAAATATCAGAGTTAATAACAAACCTTTATCATAAATATTCTTACTGAAATTAAATGTGTATATATGTTACTAAGGTGATATAAAATGAACTTTAGGTTAAAATTTCTAGCAGTTTTAATATTATACATTCTCAGGTACTGTGATTTCTACCTGAATAAATAAGTGAAAGAATAAAAATATCTAAAAGTGAGTTTAAATCACTGAAATACTTCTTTACAAAAAAATTGGGAGTTCAATTATATTAAGAGTCTGTTTTGACTACAGTTTTATGGTGTGGGATAATGCCAATTTCATTTCATTATTGGAATGCTTATCATCATCTAACAGTATATGATAGAATCAAAAGGATCATCATTCTAAGCTAATTACGACCATATCTATATTCTTACCTCTGCCTATAGTAATGCAATAATCTTACTAGTCCAGGTATGTCCAAGGTCAAAAAGGCCAATGCCATATTGGGAGCCACATTTTAAAAGAATCTAATAATGAATGGGTTTAGGGAAAGGGTTCATCAGGCTGTTTTCCACACTGACTTCCTGATTTAATTATAAAAAGTAAATAACTTATTTCCTTAGCCAGCTAAGGTCCTAATTATGGAACGGCATAAGGAAAGGGCAGAAAACATGAGCAAACTGTGTCTTAAATTATGACTTTTAACAAAGACCTTTATCATGAGCTCACATTCCTAAACTCCCCAAAGTTGAGGGGTGTGTGTGTGTGTGTGTGTGTGTGTATGTAGAATTTTAGATAGATAGATAGACAGGCAGACAGATAGTCTTTGGTGTCTTTTATTCATCCTTTTGCCCCCTTAACCAGTGAAGAATAGGTACATAACACCTCCTCAATTTGTTTAATCAAAGATATACTTAAGCTTGACTCAGCAAGGGCCTACAAAAGCAGCAAAAAAAAATTCAACAGAATAAACTACAAGAGAGAATCAATTTCATGAACTGTTTTATTAATCTAAACTAATAAAACTGTTCACAAAGTTACCTTGGTGTTGAACAGTTTCTAATTGGTATCTATCTTGAAGACAGGAATTTAAAGACCTGTTATTGAGTTCCCAACATTTAATCTAACCCTGTGGGAAGGTTCCGGTAAAATCCGGGAAGAGACAGTGATAAGCAGGCAAAACTAAAGGAAAATTAAGTCTATGTACGTGGGGCTGATCATCCTTAGTACACACAAACTCTACAAATAAGAAGTTGTTTTAGTGCAACTGACTTAGCAAATGCTTTTCACTAGCGAGATCAGAAGAAAAATGAGATTTCTCACTCCTGGATTATGGGAACTATGGAATTACTGTAGTTGGCTAATAAATAGTCTCAAGCATCATCTATTGTGTGTAAAAGTTCCCAGCCCAAGACTTCCTTAAGATTATGAGTCTGTGTTTACAAGTCTGACCCTGTAAGTACAACAGCAGGAGTCTGGAAATTAAAAACAAGCTATTTCTTTGGCGGATTTTATTTTAACATAAGTGTTTAAGCTTTTCTGTTCAACTTGCGGGCTGCACTCCACTCCTGGGATCAGGTACCGCTACAAACACCAACCACAACCGGAACTTGAACTTCGGGGAGGAAGGCGGAAAGGGGTGCGATGCGCCGTTTGGATGTATCCAAGTGACCAAACCAAACCCGGGTGCGAAGGCGAGCCCTGCCTGGCGGGTGACCGCAGGGGAGCAGGAGCCCGGGTCCCTCAAGCCCCAGGCCGAGAAGGCAGTAGGAGCCGGTAGGCGGCGTCGCGGGAGGGACCGGGGAGGTCCCCAATCCGCGGAGCGACACAGCCCAAGGCCGGGCGGAAAAGCGCGTCTCCCGGGGGCCGGGCTGTGGAGGGAAAGGCCGGCGGAGGTCCTAGATACCTGACACAATGCCAGCTCCTCCTTTAGGCAGCTCAACTCTTCCTCCAGTAGCTGCGTCCGGGTCATCTTCGCCTCCTCTACCGAGATGCCCTCTAGCCGCCTGGACCCCACGGGCTCGCTGAGGAGGGGAGCATGAGCCTGAGCAGCCCCCGCGGGCCCTCGCGGTGCCCCTGACCCTTCTTCGCCCCGCCAGAGTATGTCATTTTTATCCAAGACGACCTCCCGCACTGTGCTGACAAGCCCCGAGGCTTCGCTGCGTACCGTGTGGACCTCAGCTCCCCGCCCAATACGTGGGGACCGGGGGCCCATCGGTCGCGCCGAGGGCGGAGGGAGCGGTGAGGACGGCGAGCGCGCCGCCATGACCGCTAATGGTAACGGGTCAAGTTCCCACTTGGAAACTCCACCTCCCCTTCCCCATCCTGGCGAGCCCGGAGCGCTGATCTGCGCATGCGCGTGTCTTTTCCCGCCTAGGCGCGCGGGGTCTTGACAGGCTTCCCGCGGCCCGCGAGCGTGGGGCTGCGCATGCGCCGTGACCGGAGGGGCTAGTCTGGTTAGTACCCAGCCTGAGTCCTTTGCTAGGGACGCCTGGATTTCCTGTCCTCCGCTAACCGTACCCTCCGTTTAAGGCCTAGCTCTCATCCCGCCTTTTAAAGCCTTCCTTGACAAGCTTGCAGCCCCAAATGATCTTTAACTATGAATTTCTCTTCTTTCAAGGCCTCTGCCAACTCATTTGTCATGTTTCATTGACCGCCCAGGAGTGTTAGTTACACGGCTAATCTCTCCAGCGCTATCGTAAACTCCTTGAGGATGAGGGGAATAGATTTTAGACTTAAGTGTTTTCTCACACCCCTTAGCAAAACTGCCTTAGGTACGTCTGACATTCAGCTGACTGATGTCAAGGAGAAGTGGAAATCCTTGTGCTGAGCTGGGACCATCAAGCAGTTTCCCACTTGAATTATGATCCTTTGTACACCCTTTGTCTTTTGTTTGCAAGAGTCATGATTTCCTTTGAATCTTTATACCAGTTTCTTTATTCGTTGGCTGGATCAGAGTGAGCATATTCCACTCAGCCCAACAGGTTGGGTCCTCGGACCAATCTGAAATTAGTAATTTGGAACATGGTGAAAGAAATAAGACCTACTTTTCTTTATAATTCTCTTGTTTGTTTGGTTGGTTTTCCTTCTTGACTTCTTTCTTTATAAACTTCAAATACTCAATAATGTCCTTTCTTTATCCTTAAAATATGTCCTTACTATTAAGTTTAGTAAGAAGATGTGCATTGAGCTGGTGCCACAGTTTTGCAGAAAAGGTTCCACAATCCTTGGACAAGAACTGAGGGGGGGATTTAAGGTACAGTAGAAATAGAAAAGCGGTAACTTTCATTGTATTTCAAAGTCATCTGTGCCAGTATTAAGTTGGTGTGCAAGAAGATACTCTCCCACTCCCTATCATGCTCATGCAAGATAAGCAGGCTCCTTCCCACTAAAAGTGACTATCTTGCAAAATTTATAAAAGGATCGCATTAGAATATTTGTAAGTCTTATAAATAGCTACCCTATTGAACATTTACCATACCAATTGTTAAGTACTTAAGTATTAAGAACTTTTCACATATAAATTAATTCAATTCTCAAATCACCTTAAATTAGATGTTATTACTCCCATTTTACTAGTGAAGAAACTGATTTCAGAGATTACTGTAACTTGCCTAAATTTTCACCTCTGGTATTGGAAGAGCTAGAATTTGAATTAACTCCACTTAGCTTTAAAACCTGTGCCTTTGATTTCTACCTGTACTAACTACCTGTCATCTGAGATACAGCATTAGGTCTGATAGCATGTGAGATTTCACTCGACTTAAGACTGGGAATTCCAACTGCATAGTTACTAGTTTGGCTTACAGTCAATATGAATGTACATTTTAAAGGCAATTTGTTATTCACTCAAAACAGCATCATTTCACCTGATCACAGAAAGATTTCTTTTGAAAAGCTCTCTATATAATTGTACATAATAGATAATATATATAATTGTGAATAATAGATGATATATAAGTATATAGAGATGTATAGGTAAACTTATAGATATCCCCAGAAAAGGATATCCTGAATCTTGACTAAGCAGGTAGACATATTTTTTCATTTTCTTTTTATTGTGGCAAAGTACACATAACTTAAAATGTATCATACCATCCATTTAAAAGGACTGCAAACAAAAAACAATTCAGTGGCATTAATACATTGGCCATGTTAGACAACTATCTAGTTCCAGAACATTTTTATGACCCCAAACCGAAACCCCTTACCCATTAGTTACTCCATGTTGTCTCCTCCCATAAGCCATAAGCAATCAATCACTAAACTCATTTCTGTTTCTGTGGATTTGCCTATTCTAGATATGTCATATAAATTGAGCCATACAATATGTGGGCTTCTGTGTCTGATTTATTTAGCCTATTGTTATCAAAATTCATCTATATTGTAGCATGTATCAGTACTTCAGTTTTTTTATAGCTGAGTAATCCATTGTATGGATATACCACATTTTGTTTATCCATTCATTAGTTAATGGACATTTTGGTTTTATGCACTTTTTGCCTAATATAAATAGAGCTGCTATGAACTAATGTACTGGATTTTATGTGAACAACTGTGTTCAATTTTTTTGCATATATACCTATGAATAGAATAGCTAGGGCTTATAGTAGGGCTGTGGTTAACTTTAAAAACCACCAGTTTTCTTTAGTGACTGCACCATCTTACATTCCCATCAGGAATGTATTAGAGTTCCAGTTTCTTCACATCTTTGCCAACTTTGTTTTAATGATAACCTAGTGCGTATTAAGTGGTATCTCATTTTAATTTTGATTTGATTGATGACATTGAGCATCACTTACTTGTTGGATGTTTGTTTATCTTTTTGGAAAAATATCTCTTCAAGTCCTTTAGCCATTTTTTAATTAGATCATTATTCTGTTGTTGAATTGCAAGAATTCTTCACAGGCAGACATCTTTTAAGAATAGAAATGTGCACACTTCCAGGGTGTACATAGGGGATTCTTCTTTGTGTTACTTGTTTGCTGAAACATAGAAATGAATGAAATGTTGATTTTTATACCTTTATTTATTTACTTTTATGGGGTGCTGAGGATGGTATCCAGTACCTCACATGTGCGAGGCAAGCACTCCACCTCTGAGCTACAATCCCAGCCCCTGAAATATTGAATATTGACACTCATAGCTCAAAAGATAAGTTAAAGACCTGAACTTTTAATTGAATAACAATGTTAAAAATAATCAACAGTGTTCCTCCGATTCAGTTCTTTGTTCAAACATTTAAAAGCGATTATCTGTTCCTGGAAAATATGCAGTGAAATTGCTGAAGATGAAGTATACTAGAGTTTAGAGACACGATTCTCTCCATATCACCACTGTATGGTTGAAATGCTGAGACAAGTGAGGAAATGTGCAAATTAATATTATAGGTTTATATGATACCTATTACTTTAATTTTAAAAATTTACTTTTAACTTTGTTTAAGAAGAGAAAAAAATGTATTGGCAATTTATCAGCTTTTGTGTTTCTTTGTTTCCAGAAATAATGCAGAATTTTAAGACATGTTGATTTCTCTTTTACCAATTTGGTGTCATCTTTATTCAGTTAGTAGAAAGTAATTGTTAAATTTTAAACAACTATTAGGTATGAGTGAAACCTCATATCATAGATTTCTTTTCACATCATTTTAAAGTTTATCTCAAGTTTTAGTGTTTGCTACGTCCTAGGGATTTAAATAATTGTTTGCTGCCTGTATCTTCAGCATTATAAGAGAAATTCAAAAGCTAGATGTACCAGTGTGACAACTGAATCAGCAGCAGACATATAGTCTCAGTCTAGTGTGGACAAATCATAATCCAAGGGTTAGTGGAAATAAATTTTAAAAAACTATTTTTTGTTTATAATTATTATAATATTCTTTGAGCAATTCCTGGCAAATCTTGATCCCTTGATCAGTCCTGAGAGCATTCTTGGTTGGGATTATAGGTATAGTAGGAGATACTATCAGTGTCAGTTGAACATGTGATTTTCATACATTTCAAAATTATGACCCTATAGAGCTATGGAAACAGAATTTCATTTTCCACTTTTATTTCCAGATATAACAGTCCAAAACTGTTTAACTGGTTTTTTTGTTCTAATTATAGGCTTTTCTAAAATTATGTTCATTAAATCCTTACTCCCAAGGTGAGGAAATGTGCAAATTAATATTATATTTAGATATAATATTGGGAGTTAGGATTTAATTATTATTTAATTATTATTCTGAAGGGGAAAAAGTAACCTACAGGTTTGAAATACAGTGCCAGGGTACCTGAGAAATTTCAGTGATTCTACAACACATAGAGTTGCTATAGTTTCAGATCATCATTTTGACACATGACCACAGTGAGGCAACACCCTACTCTTTTAAACTTCCTATCCATATTTCAGCTTCCTCCTCTGTGATGGAAGAAATAATATACCCAGAACCCTGCATATTTTAACTGAATATTCTTTTCCCTCAAGGCAATATTGAAAAAGTACTCCAGTTAGGAGCTTGTACACAGAAACTCTCCTATGAACACCATAGGAAATATATCTACTTTCTTTATCATCTTCACGATCTTTATTAAACTCAGTTTCTGGAAGATATAGAATACAGTATTTAATTCTGGTTTACCTAAATATTGCATATTCCCAGATAATATATATTTGTATTTTGCATCTATTTTTTTGTTTTTCATCTTTTATAATTGCTCTAAAATTTCTTATACATGTGATTTGTAAATGTCTCTAAGTAGGCTATAAAATCCTTGAAGAAAGAAAATGCTTATTTTTTTCTGTACTCCTCATTATACTTATCACAGTGCTCTCACATATGAAGTACTTGATAAATGCCTGTTAGCTAATTTTCTAAATGCCACAGAAAGTTGTGCCTTCAGCAATTAACAGGCACTTATTATGGTAGTTAATTATATCTCATTTCAGTGGACGTTCCTTTGCAATGAACAGAGAATGTTTTCATGGAGTACAGTATATCAAAGTTAATATCTGAGGAAAAAAATCAAAGAAAGTGTATAAGGAAGGGGCCTGGGATAAGATATATACCCTTCAAGAATACATAACCAATGAGGCCCCACCTCACAAAGCACTATAAGCTGAAGACTCAGATTTTACCACATAGGCTTTGGGGGGAAATTCTAGAACTAAACTATAACAAATTGAGTAGAAAGCACACCAAGCAAATACCTGGGAGAATATCAGACACAAAGGAAAGAGGAATATGAACATAAAGTCAAAGCTTATGAGTAAATCTGAATGCTGCAGAGTTTTATAAGTTGTGAGGAATGACATTCATACAAACTATTTCCCAGGAAATATCTTGTTATCCTGGAACCTCTGAGAA